GTTTGTTGTATCCTTCCTCGTTCGTCATGAGTGCATCGATGTTCTCATAGTATACCTTCACTTTGGATTTAACCTCTGAGAAAAATTTGTTGTAGTTGTCGAGGACTGCCTTTGCGAACTGAGGATAGGACCAATGTTCGACAATAGGTTTTACTGTGGTTACTGAGCCACCTTGACCTTCGGTGAACTCGTATTTCAAAACAAAAGGGGAGAACCTTTCAACAAAGTTGTCGACCTTCTCATAGTGTTTACTCTTCATCTTTTGAGGTTTCTTAATGGAATATCCCCATGTCGAATTCATAAGCAATTTGATTGTCATTGCAAGTTTGGGGTTTGAAGCTTTCCTAATATCATAGAGTTGTTGTATGACCTTTCCAACTGTATAGTTCCTTCCCGGGAACTCGCCATTTTCGTTTGGAATTCCAGTTGGAATATATTGGACGAACCTCATGTACGCAGCGTTAAGGTCGACATAGTATATCTTTTCGTTTGAGTCGAACTTGTCGCATCCAATCGGCCCGGTTCGTGGAAATTCAAGTGAGTCTCTTATCTTTTGAGAAACCTCGCCTGTTATCTCATAAACATCGTCGAAGCAACCTGTTTCATATAAAACCTTCTGACCTAGCTCAGATGCTCTCCAATACAATTTGACGTCGATTGGATTTCTCAATGGAAGTTTGTTTATAGCATCTTGAAGTTCTTGCAACCTCATTGGAAGTTCTTCTGGTTCAGGTTGGTATCCGAACAATCCAACTCCTTTTGGAGCTGTGTACTTCTTTTGTGCTAGAACTTTGTCCGGAACAACTTTTGGTCTTACCAACAATGAAAAGTTTGTTTCGTCTTTTGGTACAAAAGTTTCTGTCAGCTTGTCATCTGGAATTGGTTCCAACAAGCCTTTCTCGAAAAGAATGTTAACAGCTCTGACAATGTTGCATTTGCCTTTTCCGAACAATGGGTTTGTAAGACTTTCGTTCAACATGAAGTGGTTGTGGACAAGTACAATCTTCAACCATGGCAATTTGAAGTCAACAACATAGTCATCGTGCGAAGAACCTTTAGCTGTAGGTATGTTGACTCGGATATTGACATTTGCCAACGGTGCAATTTTTGTCAATTGACTTCTGAGAATGTACCTTGTTTTCACACATGACTCAAGATACTTCATTTTCTCATCTGTAACAAGACCAGAGTTCCTGAGACATGTAAGAATACAAGGTTCATTGACAATTTTTTCAATTGAATTGTAAATTCCATACCTTGTCAAGTCAATGTCAGACTTGTTTATGAACGGGAAATACCCAGCATGTTGTCTGACTGCTTGAGGGTTGGGTTGGTACCATTCGAACTTCACGCTTGCAATTCCTTCAATTGCATTCAAAATATCTGAGTCGGAGTCAAACATTTGTTCTCTCTTTGTAGTCTTGAAAGCGTCAAGAAGCATTGCGGCTGTTGCGACATTGCCATGCGCATAGTATATATGACCATCTAAATCTGTTACGGTTAGTCTGAGATTGTATCCTTTCTTATTTCCGTCTTGAATTGCAGCAAGTACTCCCATGAAGCCTTCTTTGTTCTTTCCTTCGTCAAAGTTTACTGTAAAGGTTCGACCAGATGTAATTTGACTTCTAACTTCACGATACTTCTCATATGCATATCTTGTTCTTTCCATGGGAGCATGTGCGTCTTCACCTTTTCCTTTTTTCCTCCTCAAAGGATGCAATTGTTCGTCATGTTTCCAGTAGAATCTGGCAAAGCCGTCGTGTCCTTCAACTTGAGGTTCATTAACATCGAAAGGCATATCCATAAGCCGTTCTTCTTCTAACCTCTCAAGTCTGTTTGGATAATTGGCGCGCGCTGTTTCTAAGTCCATCTCGTAGCGAAGACCAGCCAGTTTGTCATAGACTTTTATGGGTCTTCCCTTCCTATATTTAAACTTCTTTGAAACTCTCCAACCATATCTTTCTAACTCTGCTTTTATTCGAGCAGATTTTCTATCCATTCTATATGGGGGCATTTTTATAAAAATAAAAAAATATACTGTTTTAAAATGGTATGCCATATAGCTTCTTGAATTTGTTAAGATATAGTCTAACGTTTTTTCCATCTGTATCTCTAGCGTTTACATAAGCATAGTCTTCCTTAGTAAAACATACTTGTAATTTTCTATAGTTTACGCCGGTATAAAAGTAGAAAGAGTCCTGTTCTTCGCTGTAGTAGTAAAACTCAAACGTATGCTTACCATAGTCTGTAATTTCAATTGCTTCATCTTCTAGTTCGTCGATGAAATCGAATACAATATCTCCAAATTTGCTTTTGTTCTTATTGTTTTCAGAACGAGTAACCCAACGCAAGTTCTCAAGTCTATTGTCGTTTCTTATATGGTTTATATGGTCTACAAAAGGTAAATTGTTAGGATTCGGTATAAAATGAGTTGCAATGACAACATGTTTAGGATAGTGTTTTCCACTCATCTTCATAATAGCATATCCTTTATTTCCCTCCCATCCGCTTAAAACTCTTTTTGTCTCTTTGTTTCTGACTTCAAATGACTCACAACAGTGAATTTCATATTTCTCATCTAACAAACAAGTTTCCCAACGGTCTTCTCCAACAAACTCAGCGTACATTTCAAATAAAATAAAAAAATATTTTTTTGAAAAAATGTTTTATTTTAAATGGTATGCCATTTCATATTTCTCATCTAATTTCTCATGAACTTTCTTCATCTAATTTCTCATGAACTTCATCGTCAATGTTTTGTTAAGACTTCTTCATCTATGTTTTCCCAACAGTCTTCTCCAACAAACTCAGCGTACATTTCAAATAAAAATAAAAAAATGTTTTTCCTTTTACTTTACATAACCACCGGCTACCATAAGTCTTTGACGCCAACCCATACCAGCTAATGAAGGTTGACTTGGTTTAGTCTGGAGACTAAACTTTGGTTTTGGTTTATCTTCAGTTTTTGGTTTCTCTTCTTCTATCGGTTTTTCGTCACTTTTCGGTTCCTCTGACTTTACTTCACTTGCAGGAACAGTTGTGTCGTCAACATCTTCATAAATGTCATATGCCATTTGTTTTTGTTTTCCTTTCAACTTTTTGTGTTTGTTGTAAAGTTTAGAATATTTCGACTCTAAGTCAATGAGATGTTCTATAATGAACTGTTGGTCAGTGAAGTAAACTTTTCCATCTGTTGTCTCGAAAATTCCTTCAGACTTCAATATTTTATTTGTGAGAGTCTGTTTCTTTTTTGAGATACTTGCCGTTCCATTTTTATGAAAAGTGACTTTGTAGTTAGAGTTTGTATTTCCAGACCTGGCACTTTCTATTATTGAATTTTTCTCTTCATCTGTAAGTTCTTTGACAGGTTTTGACAATGGTTCTGAACTTTTTGTTTGTGGTGTCAAATCTACCGTTTCAACTTCTTCGGTCATTTCATCTCAGTAAAAAATTTTAGTTTGGTTTGTTTTCAACTGGTTGTTGAGGTTTTTTAAGTCGGTCTAAAACTTCCTGAGGTATAGGGAGGACTTGACAAACACGTGGTTGTGTAACTGCTGGAAGCCGACAAATCCATCTTGAGCCCATTTGTCTCAATGCTGTATTGTTCATTTCATCTCAGTAAAAAAATTTACATTCCCCAAGTTTGAGGTGGTTGCGGTTGGTTGTTGTTTACCCACTGTTGTGCATGGTTATATCCTCTGTTAAAGAATCTTTCACCTTGGTCCATATAGTGCCCTGCTTGGTTATAGTAGTCATTTGCTTTGTTATAGTAGTTTCCTGCTTGTCTTCCTACATTGTCCATCCATCCTTGAACTTTTCCTCTTGTTTCAGGATTTGGAATAAGATTTGCTGCATCTCGTGCTACCTCCCAACCTTTCTGTACAGTTTGTATAATAGGTTGTGCTTTCTCTTTCAGTATACCTAATGTACTCAAAATCTTCCTTCCAATTCCAAATGCACCTCTGGCTAGTGTTCCCACTGCGGGTAAAAATCTAGATGCGACTCCTGCTAATGCGCCAAATAAACCCATTTCTTATGGGTTAAAAATGACGAATTCAAACAAGGACCCGTATGTTTCTAAAGCAACAAAGAAAGCACTCATGGTAAAAATCTTTAGTTCAACACCAAATGCTTGGTTTATGGATATCTTGGAAAACATTCCGAGATATAGAGAAGATGGACCTCCATACTGGTTTATATTTGTCGGTCAAAACACAAGATACTGTGAAGCCATACCATTATGGTCCAAAAATATTTTAGATGTGAAAACTGCTTTGACAATATTCGTTGACAAATACCATCCAACAAAACTGACATCTGACTATGAAAGTTCTTTCAAATCAGACGATATTAAAAACTATCTGCGTTCAAAAAATGTAAACCAATATTTCATTGTCGACCAAAACCATTCTGCTCTTGGTGTCATTGACAGTTGTATAAAAATCTTAAGAGACTTAAACCAACCACAAGGTGGTGAAGCAAATGAAATGTCATATGACGACAAATATAGACACTTCTCCATGGCAAAGATGAGACAAGTTTTAAATATTTACAATAACCGTAAACAAAAAGGTTTGGGAAACCACTCCCGAAGAAATGAAAAACAACCCTGACTTAGAGAAAGACTATATATTTAATAGTTTAGTCAAAAGAGACAAACAAGAAAGAATGCCAGGCTTCAAACTTAAGAAAGGTGACAAAGTAAAAATAGAAATACCTAAACGCGACCCATATGAAAATACTATTGACTATGACAACAATGGGAACTCGACAGGTACTCACATTCGTGTTCGTAAAAATAGAAGAAAGTATACAAGAGAATATTATGAAGTTTTAGGCAAACATGGCAAAATGTACAGACTGCAAGCAGAAGATAAAACTACTATTGTCAGACCTCGTTTCAAACTTGTTAAGGTTCAAGGTGGTATACTTTCAAAGACAGTTCCTAACAAATATAAGACAACTCCTGACGAATATGCTAAAGAAGTTGAAAATGACGACTAAGCATTTCTATACCATGCGTAAACTGTCATGTAAGGTGGCATGTAGTCTTTACTCTGTCCCGTTGTTTGCGTATACCCTGAAACGCGATGTGTATGGCTTCCTCCTACCTCAGTGTTACTCCAGTAACAATTTATAGCAAACTTAACGTCCTCTTTAACATCATATCCTTTACCTTTTGTCATTCCTGACCAATCCCAAAATCTATGACTATGCAAACCTGCTTCAGATGTACTTAAATTTATGTAGTGACTGTGCGCAGGTAAATTTGCACCTGAAATCGTTTTACTTCCACCTGTTTCCTTTGAAGAGTTTGCACAATACAAAAACCTGTCGACTATTTGAGTCCAAGTTCCAAAACCAAGTACTACTTCTGGTCTGGTAGAGTTCATTGACGTATAAATAGAACCTATAGGATATACTGTTTGAAGTATTTCTGTCTTTAATGTTTGAAGCTCTGTTTTGTCAGCTTTCTTATCATATAAATCTTGAGCAGTGAATTTAACTTTTTTTTCATCCTCCATGACATAGACATTTCTACATCTAATGTCTTTATCCGATGTTAAACCTTCTGGAAAGTTAGGAGGTTTAAAATATAATCCACCCCCACCAGTTTCTTCAATCGTTCCTAAAATACTTTCTATACCAACAGTTGAGAAGAAGGTATGTGTATGTCCAACGTCACTTTTCTTGTTTAAGGTTTCTTGTAAGTTTGTAATATTTGCAATGGTATGTGTATGGTTCTTGTCAGCTTGCCATCTAACTTTTCTTGTAAGTTTGTAATATTTGCAATGGTATGTGTATGGTTCTTATCCGCTTTAAGGTCTAAACATCCTGAAACCCACCCTGTATTGGCTTTACCTTCTAAAATCTTCGATGTCCGTTCATGGTACCATTCAACCATTTCTTTAATTTTTTCATCTTTTTCATCCACATATTCCTTATCTGCCTTCTTCACTAACCCACTAGCCAGATATGCTAACTCATCGTCAACATACTCTTTGTCAGCTTTGTTGTCAATATCTGCTTTCAAAAGAAGTTCATCTATAGGTTTCTCGTTTAAAGTTCTTTTTGTTGGATTTATACAAACAGTATGGTTCTTACTGTCTTGAAACAGAAACTCATCTGTCATTGGGTTTATCGTCAGTTTTAAGTTTCCTTCTTTCAATGACTCAGATATCTTAGAATAGTTTGAAAAGTTTGTTGTGTTCTTATTTAGAGCTTGCACAATGAGTTGTCGGTTGTGTTGTATTTCTCTCATAGACGCTGTTTCTTTCGACATTTTTATTCTAGATAAAATATGCTTTCAATAGAAAAAGAAAATTCAAGAGTTGCTACAACTAAACCATTAGATGAACTTTTTACGAATGTCGGTCAAAAGTTTGAGACAGAGACCGTAAAGCATGAAGGCTATCGTTTTGACTACCCACTAAGATGGCTAAGAGACCCATCCGTCACAAAAGCTATTGGCTTTCGTAGAATGAAGTTCATTTCAGAAGCCATACATGGTTTCCCATTTACGGTCGCTTTTGAAGTTCGATACTATAACAAAGAAAAACGTACGTATGAGAAATTTGAACAGGGAAAACTTTTACAAGTGAATTTGCTTGTAAACTTAGAAACAACTCTTCAAGCTTTTCAAGAAAAAATAAACGATATCTATCTCGAATATGCAAAACAGTACAACATTGACGAAGGAGAGTACCATCTCGATATTGTTTATGACAGGAAAAATGCAACTGTTAAAATCAATAGAATAGAAGACCTTGGAGAAGACGTTTATATTTCTACAAAATATAACAACTTGGCATGGTATAGATTTTTGAGGATGTTAAATCAGCCTGCAGAATATCCAGTACACCCGAACTTTTATGAAGTCGAAAACCCTAATGGAACATATGAAAATGTTTTCGACTCAGATGCTATTATAGTTCATGCTTCATTTTCTGGTGCACAAAACTCTTTTTTATGCTTGGCAAATGACTTTTACGAAAAACCTACAAAGCTATACGAACCACCAAGTGGAAGTATTTCAGACTTTCAAGTATGGTTTACTACAGATGGAAGAAAGAGAATAATTCCATTATACCATGCGTTTTACTTAGAACTTAGTCTCATATACAACTACTATCGAACGGTAAAAATATAATTTTAATACGGTTGAGGTGTTGGATTTGGTTGCCAACTAGACTGTGGTGCAGGTTCAGGCTGTTGTATAACAGGAGCTTGTTCTTCTGGTTCAGGGTCTTTAGGTATAATACCAACGAACTGACCTACTCTTTTACCAATATTTTTGACTCCGTTCCAAATTCCTCTTCCGACAGATTTTATTCCATTCCATATACCTCTTCCAACATTTCGAAAGAAGTTTCCTATTCTTCCAAAGAAACCCATTTTACTATATGTAAAAATCTAATGTCCGCCTAGTCTCTTACGTTTCCTTCTGAGTTCCATTGCATTCTTTAACTGGAGCTCATACATTCTATTTCTCCTCTGGTAGAAAACATACTCTGGGTCAACTCCTGTGTTCGCGTCATCTGCATAGAGTTGTTTATATCCCACTTCAGGGTTTGTATAAAACTCTTTCCATCTCATATTTGCATACCATGGTGGCAAACCTAACGCAGCGTCATTTGACATGGCAGTTTGCATTTGTACATCTGTTGGCACTTGACCATAGTTTGCCATTGCAGTTTGTATTCTAACTTCATTTGGAATATTCTCTGGGTTTGGTTGTCCAGGTTGCTGTGCATTCGCTAAGTTCTGTGCGTCCATTTAATATTAGATAAAAATATCTCTTACGAGTACATATGCTGAACATTTGCTGGTATTGGTTCATCTTCATATTCTCTATATCTTTCTGCCACGTCAAATAAGTAAATGACACAATGGAAAAAACCTAAAACAAGTAGTCCTATTTCAAACCACATTTACTTACCAATAAAATTTCTTTGTTATGACACTTTTTCCGGTTTATAGGACCTCTCTCATATTCTATCTTATCGTATCTAAAATCATAGTCATGTATATCCTCTAACCATCTCATGACACTTTCCAAACCACTTTTATCGGATGTAAAGTAAAAGCATGGATGGTTATGTACAACGTCTAAAGTTTCTAAAGAGTCTCTCAAAGTCCAGTCTACTTGGTATTGAAAATCATATGTGTTAAAGAACGGCGGGTCTACTATAAAGAAAACATTTTCCTTGTTTTTATATTTTTCATACAACTCTGTCCAATGACATCTCACAAACTCTATACCCTCAGTATATTTTTCTATGTTCTCTTTGAAAACCTTTGTATAGTTAAGATATAAAACTTTTGACATAAGTGTTTCAATGTCATGAACTCTTATAGCACCACTATATAATAGTCTAGAAGATATACTATCCCAGTCAATATACTCTGCTTTTTTCAAAACCTCTCTGACAGTATTTTTCTTATCTAATGGTATACGTTCCATCTTACCTATAGGTATCTTTTCTTTTAACTCTTTCAATATTTTGTTTGTGTCTGGTATATGTTTGAGATGGTTCATATAGTTGTCGAAGTCATTGCATATAATCTTTGAGTCTGGGAATACAGTATGGCACAAGTGGGATATATAGAAACTTCCACCGAACAAATCTACAAATGTTAGACCATTCGGTAGTTTCTTAAGTTCTCTCAATAGAATATCTTTACATCTACTCTTATTTCCAAAGAAGGGTAACGGTGGTTTTGTAAAATTCATTTTATATATATAATAAAAATGTTTTTTCCTGAAAAGTGACAGAAAAGTGACTGGGGCTAGAGGGCACGAAGTGCCTGGAAGCCCCACTACCTTTTTTTTTTTTAAAAAGGATCAAAGAATCATATTTCGAAAAAGTCGAAAGATTTACATTCAACGAGGCTTTCAAAATTTTCAATCAACAACATTTGTTTACATTTCACAGGCATCAGAAAATCGACGAACATCCACATGAATACGTTGCTCAATATGTTAATCAATTGTGGCATACTGATTTGAAATTTCTGAAGGACGATAACGGTAACCTTCAATATTTAATTTCATTTCTTGATGACAGAAGCAGATACATTATTTGCTGGCATGTTTTCGATACAAAAGAAATGAAAAATACTGCCAGAGTATTTCGTCACGCAATTGATTTAGTCAAATTAGTTCCACATGGAATTCTCACAGATAATGGAACAGAATTCATTGGAAAAGATTTTGAAGCGGTTTGCCAAGAATTCAATATAAAATATTTCAAAACTCATCCGTACTCTCCAGAGGAAAATGGAAAAATTGAAAGGAGTTGGGAGACTCTTTTCAAGACAAACCCCGGAGTGAACGTCTTTGAGTTCATACTCAAATCATACAAAGTTTTGTCGAATAGTTTGATATAAAGACAAAAAAATTTACAATTTTTAATTAAATCCGAACAATCTTACATATGCAGCCGAAGCACACTCATAAATTACTCTCAATATCCACTCAAATCATACAAAGTTTTGTCGAATAGTTTGATATAAAGACAAAAAATTTACAATTTTTAATTAAATCCGAACAATCTTACATATGCAGCCGAAGCACACTCACAAATTACTCTCAATATCCACTCAAATCATACAAAGTTTTATATTTTCATTTTATTGTTTCTTAATAAAGAATTTACTTTAATATTCTTAATTGTTTTCTTTTTTATATTTAATTTTTGATATCTATTTTAAAAAACTTATACAAATTCGAGTCAGCTAATAATTTAATTGAAAAAATAAAAAGAAAACATATAATTTTTAATCCGTCTAATTGAATAAGCAATATTATAAATATTATGTTAAACGGTTAATTTTTTCTCAAAAAAAATTATTTCGAATTTCCGAAATTTTTGACATTTTGGCTGAGAACTATGGTCTGCGAGGTACATAGATAGAATCAGTACCTCGCAGACTATAGTTCTCTATATGGCGCCGAAAAATTTTTGGTGAAATGCAACGACATTTCACCAAAAATTTTTCGGCGCCATAGGAAGAATTGGAGGGTGTGAGATACTATTACATGCTATAGTACTCACACCCTCCAATTCTTAGCCAAAATGGCTAAAATTGGGTGCAATTTTTTACATTGCACCCAATTTTTAGCCATTTTGGCTGAGAACTATGGTCTGTGAGGTACATAGATAGAATCAGTACCTCGCAGACTATAGTTCTCTATATGGCGCCGAAAATTTTTGGTGAAATGTCGTCGCATTTCACCAAAAAATTTTCGGCGCCATAGGAAGAATTGGAGGGTGTGAGATACTATTACATGCTATAGTACTCACACTCTCCAACTCCCAATCAAAATCGCATAAAATTTGCTACTTATCTTCAGATTACCTCCCATTATAAAATATATCATTGCTATCTCATTGTACTATATTTCCACCCTATTGTATTTAAAAATATAAAATTTTTTGATAATATATTTTTATATCTTGAATTTTCAAACAATATATTCACAGATAATATAATGGGAAATCTATCTCAACCTAGCCTTAAAGTACCAAACTCCTGCTTGCATTCTCACTCACAAATATTAAACATCCATCTCCAAAAAACTAAATTCTTCACAATTTTTTAAAATTGAGAACATAAAAAACGTATGCATTCAATAATTTAAAATACTAACAAATATTAAAAACTTCAAAATATCAGATATTAACGTTTTTCAATTAAAAAAATATCATTTTGCTTTTCAATTCGAACATAAATCTTAAATATTTTTAATTAATATCTGATTTACAGCATTATTATCCATTTATAAATCTGACAAATAAATGACAAAACCATCATAAATAATGTCACTTTTTGTCAAAAGTGAAGTCACGCTATTTTTCATGCACAACACTAACTTTAGGAAAGTCAAGATAGGTAGTGTGGTAGTTGACGGAGGACCAGCAGAGTTAAAATGCTTCAAAGATACTTGGAATGATTCATTCTATCATGACAGAGATCCAAAATACTACAAGATATTGCTTATTCCCTGTTTGTGTCACAGAATCCACAACAGCTATCAATATATTGCTGGCAAGAACAACCAGTTACAAAGTTTAGTAAAGGATGTGCACAGAATTGCAGAACTTTGTCGCATTCATGCTGACGATATAGGTGCACAATGTCCACAGCATGTATCCACCAGATGGATATATGACTATAATATATGTGTCTTTATTCTTAAGTACGAAAACAAAATCAAGCAATATATAAATGTAGATCACGATAAAATCGTACAATTGAAAGATTGTTTAGCTGTTCTTAAAAAGCTAATCTTAGTATTCGAATCGGATAAGGCATTGTTGGCAAATTGTTACATTTGGATTCGTAAAGCCATATCAGCTCTCAATCTTTTGACATCCAATTTGCATAATGCATTCGGATCCATCTTGGCATCTTCATTGGATAGCTATACCTTGGACTCTGACTTTGGTGGGCTATGGTGTTTGGCATTCTCTCTCACGCCGAGAGGAAGGTTCTACTTCCATAGAAAGTTTGTTAAAAACGAAGAAGTAGAAGATTTGGCCGATCCCTTGAGTTCCTTTCAAAGTGAGCATATTCCTGATAAAGATCCGGCAGAAGATTTACAGGACATTTACATGGATTCTATTTTTGAGGAAGGTAACACAAACGCTGTAATTGATGTAACAGATGAAGGCACATTTCGTAGAATTGTCGAATCTGATGATCAACTTAGGCTTACATTGCAAGATGTACGCGAGGATAATCATCAGACTGCCGAAAATGATCTAACAGCAGCTAAAGATTACCTCAAGCGCATTTTGGTTCAATTCTGATTGAACGAAAGACAAAAAACGCTTGTACTCTCGTTATATAATACGTTCATCAATAAGGAATCAGACATCTTTGAGAACGATCTGATGGACGAGGCACAAAATTATGCTTGGGAAGAGATCTCGCATAGAATTGGAGAAAAATCCATCCTTGCGGAAATAGCATTACGCTTGTTATGTTCATCTCCTTCGGAGGCAACATGTGAACGTAATATCAAAGCACAAAGGTTAATTTTGAACGTTAGGCGGTTAAGATCCAAGAAAAACTTGTTAAATAGCCGTCATATCTTAATGGCAACTAAATGAAATAAACATTTTGTTATTATTTATTTTTCAATATTAAATAGCCATTTTCTTCACAAATATTTCAATGTGTTTTTACAACAATTTAACATTCAATAATTTATAATGAATCGTTCTCTTTCATTAAACATTAATTAAAACCTCCGGTCATGAATATTTTTTTTGTTATTATTATTTTGTAATTTAAAATCTAATAATATATAAGAGTAATATTTATTATTTTATTTTAATTCGTTATGATAATCTTTATATTTACAATTTATAAAGCACCGATCCACAGATCATATAGTTCAGTGGTAAGAGTCATAGTATAAGCCTTAAGTTCCCCAGTTCGACTCCAGGGCCTTTTCGCTTTTTTTCTTTTTAGATTTTTTTTCTGAAGTTTATTTTTAAGGTTCTCGCTGGCGACCCCCGTTCACCAAAAAAATTTTCGATTTTTGCTGGCGACCCCCCCTTCGCTCGATATTTTTTTTTGTGAACGGGGGGTCGCCAGCAAAAAAAAGATGTCAAAATTTATCCCAAAAATTTTAAAAAAATCGAAGAAAGTGCATCCCAGGGATTATAAAATTTAAGTTTTCACATCTCTATTACCAGAGCATCACTTCAATGCTATAATAGTATAATTTAAGGTGGCCGATTCTGGTGGAAAAGTGCTGGGAAACGTTCCCCGAGGTAATAAAATCTGGTTTTTATGGTAATAAATTTTTTTTCATTTTTTCATTTTCAAAATATTTTTTGAGAAGAAAAAGTTGTTTCCCAGATGATTTGATAATGGATTATGTTTCTACTATTCATATAGGAGCATACTATCCTGTATTCATCCAATTCCCATACCTTCTGGTATCACCACATCTGTGATTCTTTCACCAGATTTTCCTCTCAATTTTTTTACAAAATCTCTCAATTTCTTTACAAAAGTTCTCAATTTTCACCATACCTCATCCAAAATCTGGGGAAAAACATACGTGTTCCTCATATACTTGGGATACACCGAACTTCTAGGGCAATGGATCATCATATGATATCAATGCGAATTTCACAGTAATAATGATTTTCCATCAGATTCAGTATCCTGTGATTGAATGGGAAAGATTTGAACAAATAGTCAACAATGAATCTAATGTAATTCTTGGTATACAGCATAAACACTTAAGATCAATTGTTTACCTTCAGATATTTTAAACCCAGATTCGAAAAAAATTCATCAACTTACATTTATACAAAGAATTTCATCCATATTTTAAATATTATGCATGTTCTATCATTACCAAAGGTTTAAATTAATTGAATTAGAGCAAACTATTTTTATTATTAGTAAATTTACTTCGCTAACTGCATATATCATTTTTTGTTATTTCAAACAAAACTGTACTTACAGATTTAAAAAATTAAGCAAATCAAATTATATTTAAATTTCAATATTTGAATAATACCATTTTAATTAAATAACTTAGGTGCTTTTTCAAAATAATACTAATTCCAAAACTTTAATATCTTAATAAAATGAAATTTGATCCACTTTAAAAAAACTGTAATATTTGAAGTGTAAAATCGGCAGATAATGTATAAATTATTAAACTAATTGGTTTATAAAGTTATTAAATTATTTGAATAAAATTTCGAAATAGCAAGAGGAAATCAATGAATAAAGAAAAAAACAGAAAGAGAAGGAGAAAATAAAAGGAAAAAGGAAAAATAATATAGGGCATATTTCATAAATGGCGACATTAACTTTGTGATGTTCATGGCCGGAGGCGGCGACGCGCCCGAAGGGCTAGCGCTGCCGCCGAAGGCCCGATTTTTTTACAAGATTATTTTTTCCCCACTGGCTTTTCCCAGATTTTGGGTTTATCAACCAGAAACGACCACCTTATATAATTATTTCCACTTTGAGAATATTAAACGATTAATTTTTCAAATTTTACAAATGTACAAGATCCGAACAAAAGTTTCGCCTTTTATTACTTTAATATGCTATATTGTTTTCTTCATTCTTACAGGTATTCCGTCATTAAAGGTCAAGGGTAAGGGACACATCGTTGATCCTACAAAGCGAAAAGTTTTTGATTGTGTCATTTACAATAGTGAAAGCTATATGCTATACAATCGTCTTTGGCGTCTCGATCCATATGTTGATCACTTTATAGTAGTTTATTCTGGAATTACCCATTCTGGTCTTCCAAATAACATCACATTCGCACCTTTTGAGAAAGAAATTAAATCATACTCATCTAAAGCGCATTTCTTCCAAATAGATATTCAATGCGCGAAGGCTCGTGACAAAAACTGGTGTCGTGAAAATAACCAAAGAAAATATCTCTTCAGATTCTTAAAGAAATTCAACCCACAGGTTGGAGACTTGATTATTGTCAGCGATATAGACGAAATACCTACAAGAAAAGGAATGCAGTGGATTCTAGACCATCCACCGTATGATTTTTACAATTACAAATGCTATATGACCAACCACGGCTATACACATCGTTACCCAGAACTCTGGGGTATGCCTTATGTAGAATACTATACACATTCTTTCTCAGAAGGCTTAATGCAGTATCACAGAAATCTTGTACAGTTCCATACATTGCAACCACTTGGAACTCATTGCTCTTCATGTTTCCCTGACCTAGAGACATATATAAAGAAGTACAATTCATTCGCACATCAAGAATTTCATAAATATCCTTTCATGAACACAAGTTATCTGTTCTGGAGTCATTACTGCAAGAAGAGTATGCCATGGGCAACACAGTTGATTTCTTTGAACCTTAGCGAGCTCGAGGACTTAGTTCCGCCGCATCCTTTGATGGATTTCTTGACAAATCCAAAATTCACTTTAGATATAACAAAAACTATATATAAGAAGTCCGACCTTCCGAAATTATGCACACCTGAATACGATTGGTGGATTGTTCCACACGAACAGATAAATCCTAGATATAAATTGTAAATTGTTGATTATAAAGTTTCTTTCTATTTAATTCATTCTTTTTTTTAAACTTTCTTTCATTAAATTCTAATATAAACAGATTAATTTAGAAAATTTTAGAAATTGTTCATTGAGTTTTATTCAAAACAATAATCCATTGCATTCTTTTACAATAGTTAGATAATGTTGTCTATCATTTGTTTCGATGTTTGATAACAAGATTATTCTTCCAGATGGTTATGCACTAAATCAGATAATTGATAGAACAGTAATAAGATTTGACCAAGATATGATATGTTGCCAGTCTATGGTTAGAGAAAATCTCTTTATGTGCTTGGAATGCGGACAAATTTTTGCAGGAGGAACAGTTGGATCTCCTCTTTTACTTCATTATGGAAGAGCAGCACATACAATTGCACTAAATCTTAAAACAAATAAGGTAGTTATGCTTCCAAATTACCAAGAATTATCCGACTATAAGGAAATCAGCGATATTCAATTTGCATCACGACCCACTTACACAGACAAAGTAATTAATCTAATTTTACAAAAGCAAAAAGAAGGAATTAAAATCAACAATAAATTATTTTATCCAGGACAACTTTTATTCGACTTACGATCCAAACAATCATCTCAACTCTCAGTAATTCGTTTTATTTCTCGTATTACACCACTTCGAGATTTTTTACTTTTAAATCCTCAATCTACGCCACTTGCAAATGAATTATCACGATATTTTAAGCAAGCTTTCAACCCATACGGCTTCAGAGATCACATTTCTCCCTTCACTTTGCTTAGATCCATTCAAACTCTCAGTAATGATAAATACAATGTCCAAAATGAAGTGAATCCTGTAGAATACTTTACATTTATACTCCAACTATTGAACCAAGAAATACCAGGAAAGATTGTTTCGAAATTAATTTGCGGAAAATTAAATTTCGTTGAAGATAACAATGGCGATTGCAACTACACGTCCAAAATCATAAATTACTGGAGTATTCCATTAGAACCATACGAATGTCCACTTTATCGCAATGGATTAGAAAAAGAAAAAATTATTCCACAAGCAACATTGGAATCATTATTAGAACGCTACAACGGAACACAGATAACTGTTAAATCAATAGGAAACAGACAAATTGTTCAAAGAAAGATGTCAATTCACAAATCTTCTGAATTTCTCTGGATAAACGTAAACAGAATCAGACCTGCATCATTTGGCCTCGAAAAGCTCAATCTACACATTGTACACTCTGATGATGGATCAATAGATCTGTCAAAATACGGTGTTAATGCAAAATATGACTTAGTTTCAGTGATTTCTCACGAAGGAGATGTAAATTCCGGTGTTTACGTCAATTACTGTAAAAATGAAGCTGGAGTTTGGCTGAAATGTGGAAACTCTGATGTAACTAACTCTATGTTCCAAGTTGCAGCTACTTCTCAATGCTGCCACTTACTTTATCAAAGAAGAAAATAAACTTTAGTTGTTCTTTTATTTTTTATTGTTAGTAAAATTAAAAATATTTTATTTAGGTAATTCTCTTATGAAAAACAACACAAATCGCTTGATAATCCATATTGATTCTAGAAAAGATCCAGTTCAACTCCTCTGATTTTATTTTAATTTCTAAGTACAGTTGAGAAGCTTCATCGATAAACATGTCTTTTATGGGTAAGTATTCTCTTAAATCTATAATTATCTACTTTGGTATAAGAACAACTTAACTCGTTGCTTCTCTGAAACAATAATTTCAAGAACTAAGAATAAATTTTAAACAATGTTAATGCCTTTTCCCCTTAGTCAGTATGAAGAATTCTGGTTTTCTTTTGTTGTTCAAAAATTTAATTAAATTTAAAAACGTAAATAATAAATAATTTATAAATGTAACAATAATAAAATAAATTATAAAAATATTAGTTAACAAGTGCGTATCTAACTTCATCTGACTTCTTCACATAAACTCTTGCGAGTAATCTTCCATCCTTAAGCAATCTGATTGGAACTAAGTCTTGAGACATCTTAACAATTTCGAATCCACATGATTTGACAAGTGAATCATTGTTGAAATTACCAACAAGGTCAATTCCTGTAATAGGAACAGAAGAAGGATCTCTTCTGTTGATATCCAAGAACAGAACCATCTTGTTTCCATCTTTCTTCAATTGAATAACCTTCTTAACTTTTTCTTCTGACATATAGTTTTGGCATTTGATCTTTGAGAAATCAACTGCACTTGGTGAATCATCAACAATCTTCAATCTCTCCAACTTCTCATCTGTCATGACTCCATTCGAGTACATGTATGTCTTGATGAAGTCGAAGATCTGATCTTTGTTCCTTGTCATCAATCGAGCCATTGTCAATGAAATGTTGCAGTTTTCAAAGACATGAGCACGAGCATTGAACAACTTTGTATTTCTTTCTGAAATTTCTGAATCCAATTTCGGAATTCCTGTGAGAACTAAATCCTTCTTTAACTTCCTGCATGTTTCTGAGCAAATCTGTGTTGCGTTTGCTGGATGTTTGTAGAAGATTTGGTCTGTCTTTGTGAACAATCTTGAGTGTAACTCCAATCCTTCTCCCAAAACATAAATGAACAATCTAAATTCGTTTGAAACAAAGTTTGCTCCCAAGTTCTTGGAAATCGGGCCTAATATATCATGTAATGATTCAGTAGAAGTGCAGACAGTTGCACAGATTGTTCCTGTCTGCATTCCACTAACTACATATTTGAGTATCTTTGAAGGAGGAATAACAGTAAGTTTTCTTCCCTGCAAATAAGACAACAAAGAAGAAATAGCGAAAATAGTGTCTGTTGCTCTGATAATGATTGGTCTTGGAGCGCCACTCATTTTGTAGATCTGGTCGACTTGTTGTAGTTGTTGGTTATCGATCTGTAATGGAGATGATGGTGGTAAAACAGCAGCTAAAACAGGAGTAATTACTTCAGAAACAGTCTTGACAAAATCATCTTTTCTGATGCCGTTTAATGCAGAGAAAGCACCTTCAATCATCTTCCAAAGAGAAGAAGGAACAGGATATTTCTCGAATATATCAACAACTTCTTTGGAAAGATTGAAAATATTCGGATAATCAGCCCAAAGAGAGTTGAATTTCTCGTGGAAAGCAGTTAATTGAACTTCTAAATCTCCAATTTCTCTCAAGAAAACTTCCATGTCTGTTTGGACTTGTCTGTTCTTGAAGATTCCACTTCCTGTGTTAATCAGCAAATCCTTGAGTTCATTCCTCTTATCAAGAATCGATTGTTGTGTTGTGATAATTTTGTTATCAATGACAATTGATTCTTGATAGTTATTTGTATTTGTGAGCTCGAATGCTTTGAGAGCGATTTGTTCTGTGTTTACTTCGTTGTTGATATCGAATTTAATAAGTAAAACATCCATACCGAGTGATTCTAACTTTGGCAATTCATCAACAGCGAAGAGAACAAAGAATTCCTTAGGAACTTTAATTGTTTCGTTGTTGTAAACAATTGAAGATCCTGTTTCTCTTGCTCGACAAATAACAGGAACAACCAAGTTTGGATTGTTGAAATCGAAATCGTATAAAACAATTCCGACTTGTGATGAAATAGAATTAACAAATTCATCATCAAATGTCTTTGATTTGGCTGAAAGGAACTGAACACTTTGTCTGCAAACGACTTTCTTCAAATAACTTGTTGACAACATGTAAGCGTTTTCTGCAACAACCCATCTTCCGTTGTCAGGAGATAACATTGAAGTGTTTTCGCGCCAATGCCATGAAACAGGCATATTAGTTCTGTTCCATTTCTCAACTAATGGTTCGTCGTTTGTAAGGCAATCTTTTCTTGTGTATCCTTCGAATTTAATTGCCTCATATATTTCATCTCTTTCTTTGTCATTATAAGGGCCAGCGACATTCATGAAAACCATCTGGAGGAATGACAATTTCTCTGTTCTTTGTGCTTCTAAGACCAATCTTTCGTACTCTTCATTGCATTTAGTTACGTAATCCTTAACAATTTCTTCAACAGATTTGTAATCTTCGATGTTATTTCTCTGTTTCTGGATTTTGCTTTCAATTGTTTCTCTTTGTTTGACCAGTTTCTCTTTGTTTTCTGTGAGTTCCAATGTCTTCTTCTTGCATTGATTGAGTTTATCAACTGCTTCTTCTGATTTCTTTCTGAGTTGTTCTAAGTTTTCTTCGACAACCTGCATTGCTTTGACTCTTTCTTTATGGTTCCAAATTGCTTCTGCGTAAGGAATAATTGCTCTGATGAATAGAGCAATTGCTTTAGCAGCAGATGATGATCTTTCAATGACAGAAGGCTGGAAATTAGGATCAGAAACTATTGTTCTTAGTTTATTAACTGTTTGAACAGAAATGCTTTCATTTACTGATCCAGTTAATTTGTTTTTGAATGATGCTTCACCCATGATTTTACGACCAATTGACCACAATTTGTTTCTTCCTTCTTCTGTGTTCATGTTCGTTCCTGTTGTATCTACACCGAGCAATGTTGTCAATGCAGGAACGACTAAGACGACACCGACTGGAGGGTTAGGCATGTTCTTGATGACAGCGATATCTGATGCTTTGATGTTCTTGATTTCTTGTGTGGCGACATCGAGAATTTGGTTTGTTTTCTGTAGTTCTTGTGCCAATTCTCTTCTCATTTGATCAGCCTTGATTTCTTCTTGTCTTAATATTGATGTTTCTCTGTCTGTATTAGCCATTTCTTCATCTGTTACCTTCTGCATTTCTTCCAATTGTTTCTCTGATTCTTCGAATTCATGTGTCAAAGAAACCAATTGTGCTTCCATATCTTCCATCGCGTGGATTTCTCCTCTGATGTATTCAGCGATTTGTTCACTCAATGTCTTCAATTGTTCGTATGAATCAACTCTCTGTTTGATCTTTGGATATCTCTTGTTCTGATATTCAACGAAAGCAGTGACAATGTGTGACAAGTTCTGCACAGAAATCAAATAAGGATATCTCTGGATGATTGGTGAATTGCTCAAAGCTTTGAATGTATCCGAAATCATGTACTGTTTGACAGATGTTTCGTATTGGAATGGAACTAAGTTGTTCATGACTGCTTCGATATGGCCATCGATGAAATCGTTGTGAGAATAGAAAGGTGTGTAAATTGAAGCGTAAGAAACAACTTCATCATCACTAGAAATTGATCTTAATGGTCTTAAATGAACAATTGCGAAGTGGAAGTTCATTTCGCAATCTGTCATGAAATCAGCAATGATTTCGTTGTAGTTCTTCAATGTTTCTAATGAGTTATCATTAAATGGATCATTGTACAATCCCTTCTTCGAATAAATGTCTGTCATTAAGTTCAATAATTCACCTCTTGAGAACAAACCGAAAACATTAAATGTCTTCATCAAAACATTCAACATTATTTGTTCTTCATCTGTAATTGTGTTTGCATCGATGAATAAAACTTGATGTTTCTTAGTTTTACCGGCTTCTAATAATGTATCATGGAATATCTTCATCAATGGAATGAACAATTCTTTCTCAACGAAATTGACATCTCCTATTTGGCAAGCTTCTTTGACCAATGATTTTCCAAGTGTTGTTTGGCTTGTGAATATTTCTAAGTGGTTCTTTGGAATTGTCAAAGCTTGTGCAACGGAAATGATGTCCAATCTCAAGAAGGAATTGATACCTTTGAGGGAACTCAAATCGGTTTGTCTTGGTGCTTCAACATCTGCTGTGAAACGAAGCAATGACTGTCTTCTTGATCCTCTTCTTGCTCTTGTTTTCTCTTTCTTCCTAGTTAAATCAGCGAAACAAGAAACTTCTCTATAGTTTTCTGAATTCAAGTCTGTTAAAATGGAGTTACCTGCGATATCGAAAACATTTGTTGACAATTCCATATTCAATGCATTCGAGATGTTTCTCATTGCGATTGAAATACTGGCTAAAATGGCTTCACTATGCATTGAATCGTAGAAAACTCTGACTGCTTGATGTGCCAAAACATCACAGAGTTTGTCGGCATCGTGGTTAACCATGATCTTACCAACTCTTTGGAGAACAATGAACAAATGGCTCATTGAGAACTTGAATGTCTGTCTGACTCCTTCAAGTAAATCTAATAAGAAACCAGAGATTTCTGGTCTATCAATGTTCCACAAAACTTTAACTGCTTGATAGACAGCGTGGATCTCTGCAATCTTAGACATTCCAGGAACAGCAAGAGAGAATGTGTGGTTTGCTAATGGAGATTGAAGAGCTTTTTCATCTGAAAACAGACAAAATGTCAATCCACAAGTTGGTTCATTATGTGCACCGATTTCACTTGGAATTCCTCTATGAGTTACAACATATCTTACAATTTCAGCGGCTGTGTTTCTTTCGCTGCAATCGAAGCCTAAAATAGAAAGCAAAGGAATTCTCAATGCGAGCGATTTCGCTTCCTTTTGGCTTGACTTTGAATCAGGTAATATAGAAGCCATCATTCTCCTCAATGTCTTATGGTTATCTGTTGATTTGAATGCATAAGCTTGTGGAGAGAATCTGTCCATAATAATTGGCATGTGCTGGATAATGTTTGCAATTGCAGATTGGTCGATTCCAGGAGGTGTTGTGACAATAACATGTTGTCCTCTTGAAAGCATTTCGTGAGAAAGGAATGCGAGAGGCATCATCACGGCTGGATCGAATAACAAATGCTTTGGTTCGCGATCAATTAATTTCATTGGATCGCCAATGACATCTGTCTTTCCGATATCACTCCATGGCATCCATTTATCTGTATTGTATTCAAAGAAGACTTGTGAAATGTTCATTCCACTGAGATTTATGTCTTTCTTCATTGCTGCATTTGTCAGTTTTTGATCTAATTTAACTCTTGCGTCGCCATCAACTCTTCCTGCGAAGCTCCAGAACATTGTGAAGAGAATGAATTTCGGAACATGTTCTAACAGTTTCTCAGCAGTTCTCTTAACTTTAGAGCCCATTGGCTGCAAATAATAATTCAGCAAAATTGATCTGAAACACTTGAAGAATGAAGTCAAAGATGGATAATGAACATCAATTTGTGATAAGAAATAGTTAATGTATTCATTGCAAACACTTATTAACTTAGATATAGGAATTGTTGAGCTCAAAATTGTGTGACTTAATGGTTCAACAATGTTCTTATCATTCTCTAATTTATCAAGGAAATTATCAATTCTCTTTTGAAGAGTAAGGAAGTTATCTCCAACATAAACAACAGCACAAGATGCTAAAGCTGCTGGAGACGCCTTAGAGATATCACTTGTTTCGAAAATGAAACGAGTTTCTGGTCTTAAATTGCAGATAGAGCCATCACCGAAATACAATCTTCTTGCATTGGAAAGACCAACTGTTAAAGTGTCCATCCAAACAGCATCGGCTGGGCCATCGAAAACAATTGTGTCCTTAGTTTGAAGCATCATTGAAAGAGCGCCACTTGACTTGTCTCCGTAAAGATCATGCAAGTCAAATGAATATGGCAAAACAAATGTTGGATTGATGCATTTGTATTGGCAATATTCGTGAATCAAAGCTGATTTACCACACATGTAAGGACCATTGATGATAACTCCAGAGTGTTTCTTGAGAGCTTCATTCAACTGGTTGAGTTTGTCGTTGAATTCTGGATCCTTGTGCATCTGGATGACCTGATCCTCTGTTGTTACATCAGCTGTCTTTCCGAATACTGAACTGATGTAATCAATGACTTCTTTGGCATCATCGGCACCGAATAAATCAGCCAAATTTGAAACGATTCTTGTGAAAATTTCTGTGACTGGATCATTTGAAAAAACAGGAGCCATTTGAATGAAATATGCAAGAGAAACATATGAAAGAGCAGAACACAATGGTTCTTTGAACGCCATGATACTTGTGTTTGCAATTTCAGAGAGTTTGGATGCCAATTCATCAGATTTAATGCCCATAGAAGCCAAAAGAACTTGGAATCTTTCAAATGTCTCTGAAGAAGGAACATCAACAGGTCTGAATGTCAACTTCAAGATTTCTGGGATGTGGCATGTCTGATCTGATCCTAATGTATAAGTTGCGAAGATGTGTGTTGGCATCTTCTCTTTGAGATTAAGGAGTTCGATGCAACAATCACTTAAAACATCAGGTTGCAATGAATAAATGTCTTTGAAAGCAACAAAAGCATTACATTCCGATGCCTTTTGTATGAATTCCTGCATTCTTGCAATAGTTGTATGGTAATGGCAAGGATAAATGAATGGTTGTCTTCCAATTGCATTCAAGAAATTGTTCAAATATTCGAGTTTCTTGTCTGCAGCCCATCCTGCAATTAACGGGAAGCTTCCATTCACTATGCATGCCATCATTTGGACAAAGAACTTTCTCATTCCATCTGTCATAATAACTGGTAAATTGGAGCCTGCGTATTCAAATCCATATGGAACAGTTGCATTTCCAACAGTTACATTTACACTGAAATCGTTCATATCAACAACAGTGTATTTCGGAGTTGCCAACCATATTGGATCCAAAGGAGTAATTGTCTCTTTCTTGAGGAGTTCTTCTAATACGGATTTGTGGTTCATGCAGACAATGATCATGTTAGAAATCTGTACTTGATATGATTTCCTGTATGCTGACATCAAAACCTTCAAATCGTTGCAAATAGAATCATATACTAATTGCAATTGTGCTTTGAGTTTAGAAGCAGCATTTTCTGTGAACTTTCCTTCGAATTCTGAGATGCATTTATTGACATTTGTTGTGAAGTTCAAGTTGAAAACTAATGTCAATAACTGAGAAGGATATGTCAAAGCCATCTTTTCGATATTCGAAATTGGTGACTGGATGATCTTTCTGCCCAGTGTCTTCAGTGTATTTGTGATCTGTTGGTCGAAAGCGATGAACCAACCTTCAATGCATTCAGGAGTAATTCGAACTTTTTGAATGAATTCGAAGTATTCTCCTCCTTGTGAATTGAAGCCCAAACAGTAGGTGTTTGACTCGAAAACAGCGGAGGCAATTGAAGGATACATCAAAGAAAATATTGTTGGAATCTTTGATGGTGTTTCGCCATTAGAAATGACTTGGATAAGTTGAGAATCACTGAGCAATCTGAATCTTGGAAATGCCTTTCTCTTCATCTCCAATACGTCTTGCAACTGATCTCTGACTTTAACTAAGTCTTGTGCAATGGAATTGCATTCATCTGCCGTTGATTGGTTGGACAAAATCATGTGGAATGTAGCAGATAACTTGAAATTCGTTGCGAAATTGGAGAAATCTTTAACTTTGTCTTCGAAGAAATTCGTCATCTTCGAATGCTGTGTCTTTAAGTCTGTTGATTCCATGGCTGGCTGTAATTCATTGATTCTTTCTTCTGTCTCAATACTTTGCTTGAGAATTTGTCTTGTGTTTGCTGCCAACAATTCGTATTCTTTGACTTTGGAAATGAACGGTTGGATATAAGGAGGAACAAAGATTTCTTGCATGATTTGCTGATGCTTTGCCAATAAAAGTAAAGCAGTTGCAGGATCATCCAAGTGAATTCCATGTTCAGTTTTAGTAACTTTGAATCTCAATTTCTGTAAATCGTCACACATTTGAGCAATTGCAATTTCGATTTTAGCTTCATTTGTAGCGGCTTTAGAAATAGAAGCAATTGCAATGATGTGTTGTTCAACACCGAATTCGATCAACCAGTTCCATGTGTAATCATCATTAGGACCAATTTGGAATCCAGCTGTTTCTGAGATCTGTTTCCAGTGTCTTTGTCTGTAATTTGGATTGCAAATATATCTGATGATAGGAATATGCATCAAGATATATTGTACACGAGCTTGAAGTTCTTTGTAAGGAGCTTCAAGAGGATGAACGCCTTCTCTCAAGAATTTCTTGTGTCTATCTTGATTCTTTGCTGCTTCGATGTCTTCCATGAGTTTCTTCAATGTGTTCTCCCATTCTACAACTGTATCTGATATCATTTGTACATCCAATTGCTTGAAAATTGTGCCGAACCAATCTTGCGCTGTTGTATCAATTTCAACAGCAATTGACCATGCAGGTAATAACATATCGAAATCAGATTTGATATTCGATAAAATCGGATAATCTGTTTGTTGCATGTCCAATTTTTGATCGCGAGATTGATACAAAGAACAAGTACTGATGAAATTATTAAGGCGTTGCTTGTCTTCCAATAAACTTAGATGTGTCTTTGATGAATCGACATTGACATCTTTTGTAACATATAATAACATTTCTTCTTGGAAGATCTTCAAGTCTTCTTGGATCTTTTCGATGTCTTTCTTGTGTTGTTCGATGAATTTGGCTTTTTCTTCTTGATCTTTCTTGTTCAATTCTTCAATAGACAAAATGATCTTGTGCAAATCAGATTTGATCTTATAAGTTGCACCAAATGATTGTCTTGGTTCAAACAAGAATTCTCCCATGAAATCTAACATAACTAGCAAATAATCTAGTGTTGCTTGGATATCATTAATATGGATCATTATATGAGCCAAAATAACGTGTTTGTCATACCATTCTTCAACAGTCTTTGGAGCAGCTGTTGCCTTAAGAATCAAGGATGATATCATGCCACCGATTGTATCAACTTGTTTGTCAGTTTGAGCATTCATGTACTTGAAAACTAAGTTGTAAAATTCATCAGTTTTTTGTTTGATATTATCAAAGTATTTTGTGAAATTAACTTCGAAAGCACCAAAGCATTTAATTGGTTGGAAAGCAAGTAAGAAATCTTTGTAAGCATTTAATGAACCTCTCATCTTTTCTCTGACTAAATTCAAGTTGATTTCCCTTGAATCAATTGTTGGAACTTGCCCTTTCAAATGGGCTTCGAAATCATTTGGTAAAATTGATTTGCACATTTCAATAGGATCTAAAGGAATAGGAGATGTCATCTTCTTCATGTCATCAATGTATTGATAGATCTCATCAAAGGATGTTTTAATTAGATTCATCCAATCCCAGCGAGATGTTCTATGTGTTTCCAAAATTTCTGGAAGAAAAACATCGATTTTTCTTTCAGTGAATAATTCACTTGAAACTTTTTTGATCTTGTGTGTCTTGAAGAGATTAAATATTCCATCAATATATGACAAACCTGTTGCTTCAACAGTTTCTCTTACAGGAACAAATCTCTGTAAATCTTCATGGCAAAACAAAGCGAAATGAATTTTTTCTTTTGTTAATGTCGGTGTTAATCTTTTGAGAGTATCAATAACTAATGTTGCCAATGTGTTGTTGAATCTCAAGTTCATCATTTTTACCCATAATTTCCTCATTCCTTCGTTCTCAACAATCATTTTTGTCAAGTATTGGTCGAGATTTGAAACTAAAATATCAGAAGCATGTCTTCTCTTCGCAAGAATGGCGTCTTTGAGGGATTCAAAGAAATATCCGAAGCTGGTTGTTGTAATAATACCTTTAGCAACATGTGTTAAGAAGTCGTCGCTAAGGAAATCTATTAATTCGCCATTCGCTGCAACGAGCATTTGACAATTTGCAAGTTTCAGGGCTTTGATCCTAGATGGATCTAATCTGGTCATTCCTGCAAGAACAGTAAGTGTATTCTCAATAGGAATGATGCCTTCCTTCTTGAATTCTTCAGCTTTTTCAGGATCATTCCATTGTAAACGGAAATCAACAATTGTATGGGCGTATGAATAGAGATGGTTGATCTCTTGTATTAAACCAGTAAGATGACGTGAAATTCGCATCTTTTTCGGTAACATTCGAATAATATCTTCCATCATCTTTGGATCTTGAGTGACTGTCTCTTCTTCAGTCTTCATTTGTAAGTATGTTTGTTGTTTGATGTTTTGTACTGTCTCTTCTCGATGAGCAACGGCTGCATCTCTTCTTTGCTGGAATCTCTCTTGATCTTCGTTGTCCAATCTAACGGAAAGACGATGAACAACTTTTGTCTTGCCATTACTGTTCCAACGAATGGTGTAATTATTCCCAGAAACAGAAATAACAGTGCAAGGAAGCCAACTGCAGTTACCATCATTGGTCATGTACATACTATGTGCCGGAATAGGTCCATTTTTGAGTTGATTTTGTATTTGTTTATCAAAATCGGGTGCATCAAAATCTGCCTCGTCAAAGAGTGCCAAATTATCATTAGCAGCATGTGGTGTATTCATTTGTATGTGTTCTTGTGGAACAAGCGGTTCAAGAACGTGAGGCCTTGCAGAAATTGCGCCTTTTCCGAATGAACGTTTTGGTATTGTAATTTGCGGTATATTTTGTTGAGATTTCTTTAAATAGTTTGCGAAATTTGTTGTAGGAAGATTTGCTGTCGATTTTGCCACTTTAATTGTTGGTTGAAATTCAACGAATTGGGAAGTAGCAGAAAGATCAATTGGAGATGGTGCTTGTGGAAGATTTGTAGTTGATTTGAGTGGATCACCCAAATATCCTGCATATCTTGGTGAAAATTTTGCGATTTGATCTTCTCTAAAATCTTCTTCTTTTCCATATAATGCTTGAAACACTTTCTCGTTATCACTCAGTTCCTTGTTCCTTGGGTTTCTACCCCTAGGATTCTCAGGCGGCTGAGGTCTAGTGTTTTTCATTTTTGTTTGGAAATTATCAACGATTTCTAAATTCAATCTACAGTTTTATTTATTTAAACATGTGTATTAAAGATAAAAACAACATTTTTGTTTTATAAAATCGTTTATTTTAGTGTAATGACTTCGTCAAAAATTTCGAATCCAAATTTACTAAAATTTTTACCCCAGAATAGACAAAATGTAAATCGATCAGGTGCAAAAGTGAATGATAGATCAATAAATGATACTGAAGCCGATTTCAATTATGCAGATAACCAAAAATTGTCAGATACACCTCAACATAAGAAAGCGAAAGCAAATTTAGATGAAACAGAAGCTAACAGCGAGTTTGAATTAGGCGAAGAAGAGTCTGAACGACAAAATTTAGTTTCTACAATTCAATTTATCGAACCTCACAAAGATTTAACTCAATCAGCTTTAATTGTAGTGTTTGTACTTTCTCATTATGAGCTTTTTGAGCAAATGTTTGAAGTTACCAGAAATGATGATTCAGCAATTGTATCGATTACCAAATGCATCAATATATTAAGTTGCGTTTTACACGAACCTACAAAGTTTCCTAGAACAATTTTTGACGATATACAATATTTCTTTGGAAATATGCAATTATTAGGTATTTCTATGGGCCCAGTAACAAAAGTCAAGTCAATACCAACATTAAAAATGAATATCGAAACAAAATTAGCAAAAGAAGATGTGGAAAATATGATTTTCCGGATTGATTATCCAAAACTTAACTTACCTAATACGATTGATGTTGCATCTCCTATTATGCAGCTACTTCCAGAAGGATCGGAAACTATTTATCGTCAATTTAAGTTGATTTGGGCTTTATGTCTAAGGAATAACGTATTATATCCAGCCATTGTAGAAGAAGATGGAGAAATAGCTGCTTTGTACAAATCAGAGCTATTTACGCGGTTTGGTTCTCTTCAATCTTGTATTTTATCAGGATCTACAGTTCTTTTTGCTTGTTATTCCTCTTCTACATCAAAAAGACCTATGCTTGTTCCAGCAAGTTAATATCGTATCAAAAACAAACAACAAACATTTTATTTATTATATTTGTATGTATAAAATATAGAATTATTTTCAATCTTCTTCATCAGTTTCTGTAGAAGATGCGGATCCTTCGTCAATTTGCGGAGCTGGCCTTTCTTTAGTAGAAAGGCGTGCTGGAGTAATTGTTCGTGGAGCGACCATATGGCTTTTTTCATTTAGAGTATATCTGCAATGGTCAACGCTAATAGTTCGTCCAAGTAATGTAATTCCGTTCAAATTATCGACAGCAAGTATAGTTGATCTCCAATCTTCGTATTCCATGATGGCCGTTCCGCGAGAATCTCCTGTCTTTGCGTCTCTTATGAGTTCGAAGTTAATAATTGTTCCGTATTGCTCGAAAACTGTGAGTATATCGCCTTCCGATAGTTCATAGTTTAAATTATTGACCTTTATCCACGGGCAATCTTTAAAGTCTCCATGAAAGGAAGACAATTCGTCGAATACACCCTTCCGTAATTCGATTTCCTGTAATTTTTGGATATTTTTCGCCTTTATTGCCATTTACAAAGTTTACAATAATCGTACAAAATTTACACCTATCGTCCAAAAATTTCGCCTATCGTTCGGATTTTACAATTATCGGCACATCACATCATACGTGAATGAATGACCAATTAAAAAATTTTAGGATATGAAAGCAGGAAACATCCTAGGACAACTCCTAAGCAAGAACCCGAAGATAGATAGTCCCAGCTTCTGGGAAAGCCTCGATAAGTACTGTACAGAAGGTCCCTACCAAGAAACAAAGCTTTCCATGAAGGCAAAACAAAACTTATCCGCAGCCATTAAGTACGCTTGCTCTACCATCGATAAGAATACATACTCCGATATTGTTATCAAATGGTTAAATACCATTATCGATAATAGTGCCATCTTATCGAATTTCGGAGAGAAAGAATACGCCTTCTACCAGACTGTTACGGCATTCTCTACAACTGTACTTGACAAGGAACCTTCCCAAGTCAATACGAAACGCCAGCTTGACCTTATTGCTACATTATTCCATTTGATCGACGAATTCCCCATTTTCCATGACCAAATAGGCGAAGAAGTTGCTACACTATGCATAAACATGATACTTAAGAGGAGCGAGGAAGTAGAATTGGTCAACAGATGCCTGTCATTATTATTTATCGTTATTGACAACGATAATGTCCGAAAATCCCTCAGCGATAAGACAGAGGAGTTCTCTAAGCTCATTTCCACCTCTCATTACCCACGTTTACAGCTTCAGTTCCTTGAATTATTCTTCAGAATCCAAACCTCCATTTCTGGATTCGATTGCACCACTACAGATACTCAGAACTTCAATGAGTCCTCCCACCAGTGCCTTCTGAAGGTCAACGGAGCTTCGAAGGAGCCGATCTTCAATATCAAATTCAATTCTCTTGCCAATTCCAACAAGAAAGAGTTCGGAAATGGTTGGCTCGACATTGGATTTGACGACATGATCATCTGCTTCAACGATTCCGTCATTACCATCAAATTTGATGATATCGACGGTCTTGACTCCTCCGATGGCAACTTATCAGTGACTGATGCAGAAGGAATCCCACAACTCGAAGTCCCAGCCGGTGGACAATTCACCATCATCCCAGATATCAAGATCGAACCTCCCCAAATGGAACAGATCTTCAGCAGAATCTCATATGGCGAATCTGTCTCCAATTCACAGAATCCACAGCTCGAATCTAATATTCCAATTCCTCCTCCACAACCAGTTCAAGAACAACATCCAAGGTCATCAGTTGCTCCTCCAGAGATGGTCAACAAAGAAGAAACAATCCAGAAACCGAACAAAGTCAGATCTTCAATTGCTATGTTTGTTCCTGACAAAGAAAGAGAACAACAACAAACAGTACAATTAGAAGACACAAATGACTTGTTCGAGGACAACTTTAGTGATAACGATAGTATCGCTAAAAGTGTTGATTCAAACATCATTCCTCCGCAGCAACAGATTGAACAGAAGATAGAAAGTATCATTGAAGAAGAAGAGGATGAAGATGACAGCACATATCAGCCACCTGTTGAATCAATTCCTTCTCCTGTTGAAGAGAGTTCTGAGAGTCAGGAATACGAACCTTCTCCTCCTTTGTTAGAGATAAACATTGGTCAATCATTAGTTGCAGAAAAATCTTCAAAAACACAGGAAGAAACTGCTAAAAATGATTCTCCACCTTCATCACCGAAACAATTGATGCCGAGTGTAACAGATAACAACGTTTTCGGTGAGTTACCAATGAATGTCTCTAATTGTCTCGAAGGAGGACTAAAAAGTCTCTCTTTGACAACTTTGGAACACGTCAAAGTTTTCTCTGAATTACTTAAGAGACACGTTGACAGATTCAGAGATGATATGACTGCAAAGATAAGAGAGAGAGAAACAGGATCTGTCAAACAGTTGGAGACATCGAAGTCTAATTTCCAAGACAACATATTGGTGTTTAAGAGGAAAGAAGCTTCAATTCATCAGTCTCTCAATGGTTTCGAAGACAAAACAAGAGAAATCTCCGCTCAGTTGACTTCTCTTCAGAAATCAATGAGACAAAACATTTCTTCCCACAGAAAAGCACTCGAAGCGAAACTTGCAATGCTCAGAAAACAGGCAAGAAATGACACTTCTGATGATGAAGCATCTGAAGCCCTCGACAGCCAAGAAACTGAAAGCGAGTTCTAATTTATTTTCAGTCATTTTTTTCTAAACAAATTTTTTATTATTCAAAAAAAATTATGTATGACTTGTTTGATATTTAGAAGAAAATCTAACCAATCTCTTTTCATATAATATATTAAGGTATCGAGAAAAGGAAAGTGCTGATTTAATGGCGGCAAATGTCATATTGTTCTGGAATCTTAAATTTATTACCCTTTTTTTTGAATCTAACAATATATTATTGACTATGTAGTGAGCATATGATTATATTAGCAATGATATTACTCTAATTTATATGAATTTTTCTACTTGTTACTTTTTACAATTCAAGGCAATTCTATGGAATGTTGTGACACATCTTATATTTCACATGAGTATTTCATCTTCAATAGGATATTAAAAAAAAAATGTAAAATAAGATTAGTAAAGATAAATTTTACTAGTAAACAATAAATATATATTCCATATTATAGTTGTTCCTTAGGGAATTAAACCTCTATTTATAATTATGAACAACTTTTTTACTTTCGTACCTTTGAAATGGACATATATTGTTGTCATTCAATATAATATCACAATATAAGAAGTTTTTACTGGATTGTGTTGGAATTGTTACGTAATTAGAATAATCTTTTTCTCAAAAACCTGAATTAAAGGTAGAGAAAATAGATGAGAATGATGTCATCAAATATATTGTATAAATCGTGGGATTGTTTTCCGCTGAGAAGTTATTTTTGTCGAAAATTATATCGTAAATTTAATATATTATTTTAGAATGACATGTTAATATTGAAAAAAGACTGCTTACTTGATAAGGATCATATTTCCGCAAAGTTGTTTTTCTGAGGGTGGTCTATCGTCTATTGGGCACCCTTATAAAAAATTTGTAAACTTTTCAAATTAAATTCTCGAAAATTTTTCATAATCTTAATGGAGCTTCATAAGCAGCTCAAGGAGAAATATCTCAGTCGTTTACAACAATATGAACAATTTATCAATGATCATTTATCAGAAGTTCGTGAGAATTGTCATGTCATACACGACTTGTCTTTTCACGAGAAGCTCAAGACAGTAAAAAATATTTCATCATTCATGAGCGCTCTTTTCGAATATTGGAAACAAGCTCATAATTTATATTTTACTTACCTTAAATATTGCAATCCATCTCAAGAAATTATAGAAAATTTTTATCAAATTGCTTTAAAAATAGGTGAAACAATTACTAGTTATTACCCGACTTATAAAAGTGATTTAGAGAGAATGCAAGAGTATATATACAGCTATATTTATCATACAAAAAAAATCCAAATAAAGATGGCTTCTTGGCTGCAATGTTTGGATTAGATGATTATGGTAAATTAATAAGGAAATTGCGTTCAGATGAAGGACTTGCAAGTGGGTTTTCTCAAATTCCTTATGACGTAATTGATGAATATGTGGATTTTCGATACATAATAAAGGAAATTCTGAATGAGAAATTCCAAAAGAAGAATATCGAAACTAAAACGCTCTATTTTGACAAGAACTCCAAATATTTCATGCAAGATGTTGAAGTAGAATCTGTTAATTCATTCACAGACGAAAATACAAAATGTTTGTATACGCCGTTAATCCTTTAATATAATAATAAAAAGAAATCTACCTTTGATAATTATATAATTTTTCATGTCACACTTTTACGCTCAGAGAACAAAATTGAGTTGTATCAAGATGTAGGACGTATATCTAGATCTGCAATATGCACAAAAATATAGTGTACAATCAACCAAATAACGAAGTTATTATATTTGAATTGTATATCTTCTAGCTCATCGCAATAATTGCTTATTCATAAGAATGATAATTTCACTAAAAAGCCTTTCAAAAGTCAATAATTCTCTAGTAACATTTCCCCAAACCCTAACTAATATTATATATGCAATGATGAATAATTAAAAAAATGCTGCATTTACTGTGCAGTTCTTGTTCTTTCTCCAAAATAATGAGATTTTCAACAGTGGAAACTCGGAATTTATATATATTTAATGGCAAATAAGTTTTATGGATTATAATTCTTCTTTGTCATCAATAGTTAGTATGGTTATGTTGGGTACGACGGCACTGCGTTTCTCCTTACCCAATACTTGTGAATTTGACACTTTACAAAACCGTTAACGTAAATTTTACAACACAAACACAAACACCAACTTAACCTTAAATATTTATAAAGCCGCCAACCACTTCACCTCACCAACATTTTCGCTAACGACTTCACTAATGTAAAAATAAACGTTCTCACTATCGTTCACACTAACGACTTCACTAATGTTCTCATAAATTTTCCTCAATATCTTCATCATCAGTGTTAACCCTATTGTAGTCATACTTGAAGCCATAAACTTTCTCTAACTTCTTAACGTACAATTTACATAACTTACCTTCGTCATCGTATGGTTTAATGATATAACTATTTCTATCTTTATAAACAGTCAATGAAAAGTCAACTGGTCTCGGATGTATTTGAAAGAACATGTTATGCTCAGGAAGGAAGAATAAATGTTTAAATGTATGTTTGTTATACTGTGGAATTCGAATGAGTTGCTTTTGTTCTGTCATTTACATCCAAATAAAAATTTTCAGTAAAATAAAAAATAAACTTAAAAATTAATAATATCACCACTCCCACACGTATGAAAACATAGCACAAAAATAAATTTAGGTGAAGTGGTGAGATCTCACCTCTTTTTTCACCTGTTTTTTCACCCACTTGAATTCATTGCTTTATAACTCTCTTCCTTGGTTTCTTTTTAGTTGCTTTCTTCACGTCTGTCTCCAACTTGACTGTCTTTCTTCTTCGTCCGTAATGATACCAGTTACTTCCACCAGTCAATGGGTCAAATGGTCTTTCGTAAGGGTTTCCATACATTCCATAGGGACCATACGGAAGAACTACTGGTGGAGGAAGAGTTCCATCGACTCTATTTAAATGCATTGTTTCACCTTTCATCTGGTCATTAAAGTCTTTTGCGTGTTTTGCAAACTCATCGTCCTTTCCTAAAGCATTTTCTGACTCAGTCGCAACCAAATTGGATGCTTTATTTATGAGTCCTATTTTATTTAATCTTAACTTCTTTGCAACCCAGCCTCCAATCTTTCCTTTATTTGCATCTAATGTCTTCGAAACTCTTCCTCCACTCATTTTATTTACTGCGTCATAAGCCCCAAGTGCTTTTGCTCCAAATGCTAATGCTTTTGTTCCCATTGCGCCTAAAGCTGCCCAAGCTACCATTTACACCATATTAAAATCATCTCTCTTCAATATTATCTCATAAAAGTTCTCTTTACTGGAGAAAGTCAATGAAACATAAACATTCTCACGGGCTTCGCCCTCACCGCTTTGCGGTCTATCTAACTTCTTTCTTATATCATCTATACGCTTCAAAATGTCTGAACAATTGCTAACATCTTCTACAACAGTTATTTCATCATGAATGACCTTCAAGAACAAGCTCATTTAATATGCTATTAAAATCATCTCAATAATGAGTCCATCCTTTCCATCTTTAGGTAGCACAACATCTTTCATTGAAGAAGGTTCGACAAGTCTTATGTTAAACTTACTGACAAAGTTTGTTATACTATAATGCTTCGGTGGCGAATACATGTAGTTTGAAAGACATAATATAGATTCTTCAGCAAATTCACTTATACTGGATTTTATAACAATGTTCTCACGAGACCAAATACCACCAATTGACAATCTTGTAAGCAATCCTGCTGAACCTTCAACTGTAAACGTCGATGGTAACATTCCACGAAGGTCATCTATTGACATCTTTGAGTCACTGAATTTAAATATTTTCTTAAAGCAATCGTCATTATCTAACCATGCAATAGCTTTGAAGTTTTCATTCGAATATACATCTGCTTCATTAAATGTAAAACCTGACTTCTTTGCAGAGATGACTTTAAAATCTATTGAGTTTGTTTCAAAATTATATGCTATGCTAACTTCTGAAGGTAATGGATGTCCTTCCGCAGTCAGTTGTTCTCTCACTACCGTTTGAAGCTTTGTGTTAAAAACTTTCATGTCATCTCCTGTGTCTAGGTTCACATACACAGCAATAGGAAAACTATCTTGCTTCTTTGTCTCATCATTATATCTCAAAACATTAAAGTTCTTCAATAATATTGTCCTTCCTGCTGGAATACTTCTAACTTGTCTTATTTCAATAGCTTTCTCACCTCCTACATACTCTACCCAGTGTCTTGGATATTCATAAGTATACTGACTTTCTTGAATTTTGGTTGGTTTCATCATAACGTGTTCATAGTATATCTTTATACTCTTGTCAGTTAGACTCGGTGCTATGTTCTGAATATTTCTGACTTGCATTTTTAATGGAGATAAAATGAAGCATTTAATACATGACGTAGATGAAGACATGAATGAAACTACAGACAAACTTAACTCTTCTCTTATTCTTCCTTTCAGTAAGGACTATGAGTTCTGTTCAAATGGTGTTTATTTCTATTGTGGAAAGATGGGTTCAGGTAAGACATTTAACCTCATTCGTCATATACTCATAACAGAACGTTTAGGAAATGACTCATATTATGACCAAATCATTATATCAGCAACTTCAGACTCTATGGACTCAACAGCGAAAACATTTATGTCAAAAGTTCAAGCCTCTGTCGTTAAAGTTCCAGACAGTGAACTCATTGAATTTCTTCAACGTTACATTCGACGTAAGAGGAAATATTATGCCATCGTTGAATTTATAGTCAGGAATGCAAAAGACTTCAGAAGAGATGGAAAGAATTATTGACAAACACCACTTACGTCAGTACTCAGGAGTTTACGATATGAAACGACTGACAAACTACATTCTATCAAAACTTTCAAAATACCCCTTCAAAAAATATCCTTCAAACACTCTGCTCGTTTGCGACGACTTCGCCGGAAAAGGTTTAGTGTCAAAACCAGACTCACCATTAGCTAATATCATTACTAAAGTCAGACATTACCACTTAACTGTAGC